TTGCTTCAATAGTTTAAGTACATCAATCAGACAAGACACGGTTATAATAGTCAACAGCAAGCGCTAACACGTTAACAGATCAATTATTCGTCAAACAAACATTACAAATTCATTCGAGCGCTTTGGAGCCGCTATTAGTGCTGAGTGGTACACGATTAGTATCGTTATTATTATTATTAATAAAATAAAAATATTTTTTCGATTGTTGTACAATGAACATTTTCCCCTGTTAACCTATTCTTAATGTTAATTTTTCGAAGCCAAACAACTGTGTGTTATCCGGAACACCAGAGGTAAATAATAATTATTGTCCGGATAAGGCGATGAAGTGGCCATCGAGGGAGAGCACACGTAGGAAACCCGTCAGGAACACATACACGGGAAACCGAACGTGCACATATTATATGTACACAATAACCCGGCCGTCTGTTGTCTGATGTGCACGGTATGTCTGTGGGGTGGATTTTTTTTTTCTCCTTCGATTTTTATTATACTTATCGTCGTCGGCTAAAGGGCGCGCTTTTGATCCGACGACGACCGACCCCTCGGGGCTGTTTCAATGGCACCGGCGGCCCCGCACATATAATAATATTATACACGATATAATAATAATGATAATATTACAACGTATAGAGCGAGTGTACCCCCTGCACGACGATAATGTCGGGGAATCTTCGTTTCGGTTACCTGCCGAATTAAGACGGTAATAACAAAATACCGAAAACAGCAAGTCGACAGAGTCGGCAAGTGTAACTGCAATCGCTCAAAGACGTTTACTCTCGCAAAACGGAGAAAGTGTACAAAATCAATACGTTGTCCAGCACGTGACGCGGACTTGCCCTGGAAAAAAATACTGCAAAATATAAAAATATATGTGTAGTTTTATGCTTGTATGTTTAAAGTGAAAAAAAAATCATTCTTGGAAACGTTAAAAATATGTATAATTTAAAACACCTATATTGCTTACCGTAGAAACGATTCTACCAAAAATAAATCTCTATGTCCGTGTACGGTCTGTAATAATTCAGAACTATTCAATAATTAAAGACACTTTAAGTCAGGAGCTATTCCACACCTATTCATTATCTAGACTCTAAGAGTAGGCTAGCTTAAATTAAAAAATCATATTTAATAACTTTCAACTTCTAGTTAGGCCTATTTTTTTATGCCTACTCGTTATAAGTGTTGTGCAATTATTCATTTAAAATTACTTCTTATAAAACGTCATTCAAATCGTTTTTATACAATTTACTTACATAAAAATAATAAAAAATTATAATATTTGAGCATAATTTATTAGTTATTATTATATGTTTTTTTATTTATATTTATAGAAAGTAGTATTTTAAAAAAAGTTATTCGAATAATTTTCACTTGAATAGTATGTTATCTGGATGTGTACAAGTACAGCTCTACTTGCTATTTAGCATTTAATATCTTAATTTATGGGTTTTTTTTTTCATTGAGTTTATTTTAACAGGCTTCAACAACAAGGTTATTAGCCTACGTATAAGACAAATTTTACAAAAGAATCGATTATTATAGCTAAGAATTAATTATACTTATTTTGTACAAATTTTGGTACATTAGACCAATTTCGTTTAGTAGATTATTTGCAATTTAATGTAAAAAATCAGAAAAAAATGTATAAAATTAACATTTTATTTGGCAAAAAAAAAAATGTTGTTCCTTATCACTAATTTTGAAGAGCAGACTAGTAATTTCAATGAATTTTTTATTGTACAAAAAACATTAACGGATCATAATCAAAATTGAGAGAGATAAACCTTGGAAGGGAGGGTTGTAAGGAGAGGCTAATGTTTATATGAAAAATAGCCTCTCCCCAATATTTTCTTGGATTTCCGCTTGTGGCACGTGAGTATTATACACAATAATATAATAATAATAATATATAGGTATTAGGTTCCCGACGGAAGTCTTAATAATTTATTGTTTACAAGACATGTTAATGGCTTTTTATGCGGCACGACTCCGGCGTACACGTTATAACGGAACTAAGGAAAACGGCCAAGGAGCGATTCACCGGCGTGAGTATGTGTGGGAACACAGTGTCTTATATCGGCTGGCCTAATAGCTAACGTGTTATCAAGAGACAAAAACAATATTTGACTTCCAAAAAAAAAAAAAAAAGAGTCCCAATTGCTGAACTAATAATTACACATCACGGTTTAACCACCTATAAGGTAAGATTTTGCGAAAAAATTATTTTTACATTCATCACGTTGATCTATGCATTAAAAATAAATCAAAACACAAATGTTTGGAACTCCTGTCCTCTATTTTTTTCACTATTTGTGTTTTATCTCTAAAAGTCGTTTTGAAGGATATCTTTTTCTGTTTTGTGTACTTAATGTTGTGAACAGGTTCGGTTTCTGCTTTAAGAAAAAAAAAATATTTGGCTTCAATGGTTTCAATGAGACAGAACAGACTTACAGATTTGCCAAATATTATAATACATAGACAAATATATCAATAATTGCATTAACATAAACAAAGTTATTGGCACATTTACAGAACTAGCAACTTGTAATAAATACTTTTAAATTGTAATATTGCATACATTTTTATTATTTTTTGTTATAAATATAAAATGCCAATAAACTAGTGTTAAATACTAAATTATTATACAACATCCTTGCTAAAAAAAACCTTTTTCTCATTAATTTAAATTTAAAATGCAAAGCTTAAGTACCCTCAAAAAAATTAATAATCAAAAAATAGTCTTAATTACTGAGCTAATAATAGCACAACGTAGTTTAACGTTTAAATAAAGATTTTGCAAAAAAAAAGTGGCCTTTACCTTACCTAACTGCTTAATAAATAGGAGGTATGAGTTATGAGCCGTCCTCTTAATATTACATTTGTAATATTATTTTGTATTCTCAGAACTGCTCGTGTTTGCGTTTTATTCTCTGTAGTCAGGTTTTTCTAATTTGTAAACAAACATTTAGATACCTTTCACAAGACTGCGTGCATCGGTGGTCAAGTTATTTTTTGGCAGCCAGTACATTATTATATCTATACATTAGTATCTTTGGTAGTGCATAGCTGTTAATTATTTTAATACTGTAAATGACCCTTCTGATCTTATCTATTCTGAGGTATGACTGAATAAAATTCTCAAATGAATTATCACGGTCAAATTGCCTCTAAATTATACACTTGATGGTTTTTTTACATTATTTAGTAGTATGCCGACACGTGTAAATGTTCATTGCTTTAATAGCTGTTTTAGTACATCAATCAGATAAGACACAATTATAATAGTCAACAGCAAGCGCTAACGCGTTAACAGATCAATTATTCGTCAAACAAACATTACAAATTCATTCAAGTGCTGTTGAGTTGCCAGTTGTGATGATTATTAATAAAATTAAAATGTTTTTGGATTATTTTACAATGTTCCATGTTGTCAATATGTAAAACCGCATTGCTGTACTTTCATTGCATGTATTCACTTACAGTTAAATAATAATATAAGATTAAAGAACTTTAAATTACATTACAATTTTAATTACTTTATTAAACTACGTCATTTGAAAAAAATGCATTTTTTGGGGTTTTTTTTTCCATATCTATATATTTTTTTATCGACAAAAACCTAAGAAAACTAATTATAGATCAAAACCATTGTTGTTTCAGACGGTTCAATAAAACAATAAAAGTCTTAATTATTCAAATGACTAGGTATAATGGCTGCATATGGGCCCATACGCTTGATTAACATGTATTGGAATTGTATTCAGTCCCAATTTGGCAAAACGGCGTTACTAAAAACCTTGAATTTGCTTAAAAAAAAAAAAATCATCTTTCAAACTTTCTGGTAGTAATGAAAACTCCGTTTACGGCTTATGTTCCGCCGACGAGTGGACGTTGAAAAAAAAATTAAGCTCATTAAAAAAACATATAAATCTCGCAAGTCTTATTTTTTTAGTGCCCTAAACAATACACTTTTGTTCATGCCTGAAAACACCTATTTAATTATTTCACGGCTCACTCGAGTGCCAAAACAGATAATGTTTTGAGCTTTTCATTAAAAATTTCTTAACGATTCGGCCAACTCGAAAAATAATAATTATATTTGCCATTATAAAGTAGCATTTAATGTTATTTTAATAGCCGAACCCGGTTTTCAAAACAAAATTACACCATAGATAAAGATAATGTCTATTTAGTATTTATTTTTTATTTTGCTAATTTTTTTAGTTCTATATATTATTAGGTACTCATTACAGACTTCATTAATTATGTTTTAGAATTTTTTAATGTAATTTACTTCTTTGGTCACTAACATTAGTGGCCAGTGCCTATTCTGTATAATTTAACTTAATTTTTAGATATTTCAATAGTTTTTTTTACTACAAAAATATTGCGGTTAAATATACATATATATATATTAAACCATTCAGTATGCATACTATGTTTTGTATTGAGTATATTACATTTACTTCTGTACGGTTAGGTTAGTTAAATTTTAACTGAAATACTTGGCATAGTAAATGTTCACCGTGGTTAGCAATTTTTAAAACTACCTTACCGACAGTGATTTATTCTAGTAAACACAAAACCTATTTGCCATTTTTTTTCCCTCATAAATCTTTACAATTGTTAAAAAAAAAAAAACAATATTTATTGGTTTTATTATAATTCTACAAGTCTATATTGTGTTTGTTACACGTTAGCAGCTATTTAGTAACCTTTTACCATTACAAATCCGTTTGAAATGGAAAGTTTAATTATTGAAAAAAAAAAAGTAGTATGTATTCATGCGGTATACAAAAATTGAAAAAGGTACACAATTTTTAAAAGGGTTTTGACGAAATATGCGTTTGAATTCAAAATAGCAAGTTTGCACTGTTGTGTGTTTTATAATATGTTTTGCACCACACACAAGAGGCGACATGATAAAACCAACAATACTAGCTGGGTACACTTTGAAAAAATTATTATACATTTAGAATCGATATGACAATTTACAGCTAAGCATTACCAAATGTGCGGCGTGTACGTTTGTTTTCAATTTTGTTTACTGCGCAGGCTAAGATTTACTTTTCACAACTGTTGGGTGTAACACCTAGAGTACAATTTTTTTATCTAATCGCGCAGCTTGATATTATAATGCAGCGCGTGTGTTTGAATTTCTGTACCGAAATGCAATTTGGCCGTTTGCTGTGTTGTTTGGTGCTTTGCTCGACCCCGGTCGCCGCTGAAGTATCGATCGGGAAACGCGTGGCCGGAATGAAAAAACTGCTGGCAAGACCGGGATGGATACGCCAGGATCGTCTGGAGCTCATAGGCGGTGATAGAATATACCGAGACTTAAACCGTGTGTTCGCTTGCAAGGGCAGCACCGTGAACCGGTGGAACGTGGACGGTGTAATTCGGCACGTACACCATTATTTGGGCTGTGTTTACGGTAAGGTGCTGAATGCGTTTTTCGATTACCACACAGGCATCGGGCTTCTGTGCAGGAGACTGGCCGACGATCGTGCCGCTGAACTGTTGGGTTGTCTGGAGCGTTATCTACGGACAATCGGCAACGGCGACCCGTTGGTGTTGCGCATGAGAGGAGCGTTTCAATATCTTCACCAGTTGTCGCCGCGTATGGAGTTCAAGACGCAAGTGCCAACAATTCTGGATAACTACAAACGTTTCTACGACGGCAAAGTTTTCCAAAGAACGTTGTTCGTCTTGGCTGATGATGGCACAGTTAACGTGCCCGCGGTCCTCGACGAGTTCAAGGCTTTCGAGGACGTCTTGAATTCCGCCAAAACCGACTTGGGCGCGTTCCACCTCAGTCATTGCAGGGTGCTGAGCAACTGCGAATATAACATTGTGGCCATTTCCATTTGTCCGTTGATCATAGGGAGTCTTTGCGATGCCAGTAATTTCACCACCGAACGAGCTATAAGTCGCATGGACGATAATTTAGCAACAATTGTCGAATATTTTATTTTGAAAAATTACCAGGATCTTGGGTTTACGTTTAATCCTGAAACGAGCGCTACGTCTGTAGCCTAAACAACAACTGGCCAGCAGCTGTCGTCGAGAGATGCCACTGTGTAAGACTACTACTAATTTAACGGGTAAATAAACAACAATATTAGTACATAATTTAGTTGTAGCTGTGGTTTACTTTTTTTAACTGTAATTTACTGTGTAATTATTATTATTAGATCAACATCAGATTATACCTACTTGCCATACAAACATAATATACATTACGACTTAAGAGGACGCCTCAAATGTGTTTTTCAGAAATAAAGTCATCCATAATTTTTATAAAAATGTATTTTTTCATTCATCACAATTATCTTGTTACTTTGAAGGGTACTTTTGTTTTGCTGGAAAATATTTAGATAAAATAAAATAAAAAGAGATTTGTCAATATTATATTATATAGAAAAAGATATGACGCATTTTACATAAACAAAGTTATTCTTGTATTAAATACTTGTAAATTGTAATATTACATAATATATTTTAATCATTTTTGTTATAAAATTAAAATTCCAAAAAACTAGTCCTAAATATTAAATTAGTATAAAACATTGCCTTGCTCAAAAAAAGAACTATTATCTCATTAATTAAAATTTAAGTACTTGGAAAATGCAGAGCTCAAGCATCCTCAAATAAATTAACTGCCAAAAAGTAGTCTTAATTACTCAACTAATGATTTCACATCACAGTTTAACGTTTAAATTAAGATTTTGCAAAAAAAATGGCCTATACCTAACTCCTTAATAAATAGGGGGTATGAGATTTGAGCCTTCCTCTTAATATTATATTTGTAATATTATCGTGTATTCTCTGAACTGCTCGTTTTTGCGTTTTATTCTTTGTAATCTGGTTTTTCTAATTGCTAAACAAACGCCTAGATACCTTTCACAAGACTGCGTGCATCGGTGGTCAAGTTATTTTTTGGCAGCCAGTATATTATTATATCTATACATAAGTATCTTTGGTAGTGCATAGCTGTTAATTATTTTAATACTGTAAATGACCCTTCTGATCTTATCTATTCTGAGGTATGACTGAATAAAATTCTCAAATGAATTATCATGGTCAAATTGCCTCTAAATTATACACTTGATGGTTTTTGTACATCATTTAGTAGTATGCCGACACGTGTAAATGTTCATTGCTTTAATAGCTGTTTTAGTACATCAATCAGATAAGACACAATTATAATAGTCAACAACAAGTGCTAACGCGTTAACAGATCAATTATTCGACAAACAAACATTAAAAATTCATTCAAGTGCTGTTGAGTTGCCAGTAGTGATGATTATTAATAAAATTAAAATGTTTTTGGATTATTTTACAATGTCCCATGTTGTCAATATGTAAAACCGCATTGCTGTACTTTCATTGCATGCATTCACTTACAATTAAATATTAGTAAGATTAAAGAACTTTAAATTACATTACAATTTTAATTACTTTATTAAACTACATCATTTGAAAAAAATGCATTTTTCGGGTTTCTATTTACATATGTATATATTTTTTTATCGACAAAAACCGAAGAAAACTAATTACAGATCAAAACCATTGTTCTTTCAGACGGTTCAATAAAAGTCTTAATTATTCAAATGACTAGGTATAATGGCTGCATATGGCCCATACGGTTGATTAACATGTATTGGCATTGTATTCAGACCAAATTTGGCAAGACGGCGTGGCTAAAACCCTTGTTTTACTCCGTTTAATCTCGGTCGTTTGATCCGTTTGGTGTGGCGGTTATCGTCTGTTCTTGATAGAGCGGTTAATGCGATTACCGTGTCAAAACAATACCGACGATTTGGTTTATACTACAATATTAATTGTAGTTGATCCGGACGGCCGTGTAGATCTCAGAGCGATTTTTCGATTCTTGTCATTAGTTTTGTTGTATTATTATCGTCGTTTGTTAGCAGTGTAGACGGCGGCAATGCCCGTGCATCGCGTGTAACCGATGCCCATTAGCCGGGGGCCGGTCGCCGCCTCCAGATTAAACGCACTCCTATACAATGCGTTCGCTCTGTATAGCACACAGTATATATATATATATGTATATATATATATATATATATATATTACGTGTACCTCCTATACAAGTATTTTAATATCACACACACAAAGACCGACAACTGGGGCGGAGGAGTTGTTTCCATTCGAAGACCGTTTTGAACGCACGCCGGCTGGCGGCTGCTGTCGGGTGGGTATAATACATCTCTCACACACGTTCAGATAACACGGTGTGATTACCCACACTGCTATACTCTGTCTCACGAGAGAACGGTATTGCGCAGAAACCAAAAACGCGTTACTCGTGTCAGCGCAAGCGCACGCGAGAGTGGTGTGTTTCGGTTTATGGCTGCCGTAACGTTCTCTCGCGAGACAGAGTATAATACACGTATCAAACTGTGATCAAGACTTGTGACGTTTCGCCAATAGCAGATGATAAAACTGGAATTTCGGCGACATCTCTTCTCCGTAGAAGGGCCAAAGGGTTTTGGAATATTTACCTAACCTAACCTAGCCTAAGCCTCCAAAACTTCTTTGGGTTCTAGAAAAAACGTTAGCAAAGCCCTAACCTAACCTACCCTAACCTAACCTAACCTAACCTAACCTAACCTAACCTAACCTACCCTAACCTACCTAACCTAACCAAACTGGCGTAACTCTCAAGTAAGGTTTTTTCATGCAAATTCTACGGTTTTGAACTTCCCAAGTCACCATCTATACCTACAACTGTGTGGTCGTTCTAACTTAGTTTAGCTTTAACGTGGGGACGAAAAAGTCAACATTTTGATGAGTGTTTTGTTTTTGTCGAATCTAAACTGCGAGGTCGAGTACTCAGTTTTTGATCCATACACTTTAAAGGGTTCGCCCAAGTTACTTTGCTCAGGTAAAAATCGGTTTATTAAAATGAACTGGTTTAGCAAAAACAATCAAAAGTGTTGATTTCAATTTTTAGGGTATTTTTTCTGGTCAAATGACAGTTACATGTCCAGTAAAATCGGACGATCCCTTTTGATGGTAATCACATGACCTTTGCCAGAATTATATCATACCTACATCTTATCTCTTTGAAGAAGATATTTTCTAATCTACACAGCTGTTGTTAATCTAAGATGTACTCTGAATGTACAGAATAATTAATAATTTAAAAAATGCTTCAATGCGAATTAATATATGCTATTAAATTATAAAATAATAATAACGCTCACTATATTATGGGCAATATTGTTTTATACGAATGAATGAATAGTTTTAATTATTTACATATCGACGTCGAAGCGTATATGCTGGATAATTAATTCAGCCAGCACGCGAGCCCCACTTTATTTTAGTTTGCATTACACTGTAACAATATTTTCGTTGGCATTATAAACCCTATATTGTTAATTGAAACATAAAATCGGGCTCTAGCTGTAGTTATTTTGAACTGTTAACTATAAGCTCTAAATTCTAAAACCATAATGTTTTTATATACATTATATTTTACCGATAACTGAAACCCTCCTCAACTCAGTGTGACCACATTCTAGAAATGAAATTATTGTACAAAACGTTTTACTATTATATCACAGATTAAACAAAAACCAGATAGTGCACTCAAAAAAAAAAAAAAATCTAAAAACGTCAACAAACTTCAATAATAATCTCAAGTCAGTGTGACCAAAAAATTAATAGAATAATCCTTCTGTTAAGCAACGTGGATAAACAAACGGTATCAAGCATCTGTAATGTTATCGCCATCGATAATCAACTACAGCTTGTTATCAGTAATTCTTATCAGTTCACGTTATTGTTGTAAGTAACGTGTACAATATTTCACGGCACTACAATTTGGCACTACTGTATTGAGTTTTGGCCAATCAAAAATCGTTATTTCAATAATCTATTGTTTTTCACTACGAAGTGCACTATTTGGTTTTGTATTAATCATATATCACTGATAGCAATTTAATATACGAATCACAAAGAATATTTTCATTCACTCAGTGTTCAAAAATCAGGTTATAAATTAAAACAGTTCTGGATACGTGGGCGTATAAATACTTTAGGCAATGAATTAGCAGACCTAGAGAAGCCGCAATTTCAAGAAATTGTGAACCCCTCAACGTTATCTCACCCAATGCGATTTAGAAAAAGTAATCCAGGCTTTTCGCTACCAAGGGGTGGAATAGGAGACGCTGGTTAAATTTGAACTATAAACTCGGAGAGATAAAACCGAGAGAGAGAGAGATAAAAGAGCACCGTCTGTGATTTCATCTAATCTGCGTGATACCCCGTTTCCCCAATGGAACCGACGATGGCTTTCCAAAAAAAAAAAGTTTGGAAAGCCATCGTTGATTAATGAATTGATGGGGAGAAAATGGTTCGCAGGTCGTCTGTGCAATGAGCTCGTACACACAAAACGACAACAAAAGAAAGAGGTCGTAACACCATCGTCGGAGAACGGCGTCGATGGGTGCAACGACCCGAATCATAATATTCTGTCCGTCCTGCCACTATCAGCTGTACATAATAATAATATATGTAATATAAGCACTAACTATGTATGTAAACTGCAGCGGTGTACCTACATTGCTCGGTCGGCTGGAAAGTATCTAAATATCATAACAATATAGCTGTGTTTATTGTGTTGTCACGTGCAGAAAAAAACAAAAACAAAATTGAATACCTACACCGGTGGAAATCCTTGCAGCGAACAAAGCCTAGTCCGCAAACACAACAAAATGCCCAATAAAATAATAATTTTTCATCCAAGTATAGTAAATTTTCCGGCAAATATTGATGATTCAGAGCCTCGACTACGGTGTGTGTAATTCTTTCCCGTTAAAACAGTTAATATGCTTTTTAGCTTTAGCTGCAAGTGCTCAACCATTGTGCAGGATGACTTTGGACTAAAATATATTATTGTCGCGACCTGTACCGTTTTAATAATATCTTCGCTTTTGTACTTGAATCGGCAAGCCACGTTGTTCTTGACCTCATCGCCTTCGTACGGTGACAGAACCGTTGTGTGCATAAAGAGTTTGGTCATGTATATCATAAGATAAAGTTGACCGACTCGGTTTATGTATTGTGTAACCGGAAATGTTTAAAAATTAACGCGAACCCGTAGTTCCTCCCACGGGCGTGAATATTTAACCGAATGACTTGGTGTAGCCCATTGAAAACGATAATTATTAGCTAAATAATGTACTAGATGACACGTTATTCAAGTAAAAGTCATTCGAATAATTCAAAACACTAATTATTCAACTAATTGAATAAATGGTAATCGTTATAATTAAGCTATAAAAACCAATATATGTATGTGTATATATTATAATATTGTGTTCATTTTTTTTTTTTACATATTATGCTGTAA